TGTGCAATTACCGCTGTAATTTTTCGATAATTGCACACTTCAAACGGACAGATTATCATACGAAGGAAATATTCGCTGTAAGTTTTTTTGAAAATGATCGAATTACCGTTTATTGATACCTTTTTTGCCCTATGGCGTTGCTATGGATGAAATAATCACTAACCAGAGCACTAACATTCCTTTTCATGTAAATCAGTTATTAAGGGTCGTTTGCACCGTTTTATATGAAAGCTAAGCTTACATAAACCAACCTTAAAAATTAAGCTCGGCTTTAAAGTAAACGGCTTGCACCGTACTAATGGCTTCGTTAAGCCGGAGTCAAGTTGATCTATTTGCCATATGTGGAATTATGATCGTTTGCTGCCATGATTCAATGAATAAATGTATTCATTGTATTTATCTTTACGTTAGAATTATCGCTAACTCATCGATTTTGTCTGCTGAATGCGACCATTGTTTTTGTTTTTGTTTGTTATCGCTTAATTTAAGCCGAGCTTTGAATGCTGTAAGCCTGGTTTATAATGTCGTGCAACCCAATTTAATTTTAAAGCTGATCTTAATGGCAAAGCCAAGCTTATTTTCAACGGTGCAAACGGGCCTTAATATTTTTATATTATTATTATATTTAATTTCAATAGGTACATAATAATTCAATAGGTTACTTTTGCYAAAACATGCAAATACCTACTTAGTTTCGTACTAGAAAATTGCTTAAAATAAAAAGTAAAAGCACATGTATAGAAATTAACTTAAACCAGAGCTTAAACTTCCGCTTGTCCTGGCAACACTGTATGACAGTGTTGACGTCATGGAACTGAGAGCAAAATATCAACAAACCGGATTTCACTTTAATTACAGAGTTAATTATTAGTAATCGGTAATCGGTACGTTTGTTCGGCTAATTCTAATTTACACCTGTTTTTACAGCCTGAAGAAATATAAATTTAATAATATATTTAAATAGCTGGTGCGTACAGTATTATTTAAAATAATAACAAAATGGCACATCTCTTGGAAGATAATGAAGAGGCATTAAGCACTTTGCACCAAGTTACCTTAATTGAAAGCAAAGTTTCTAGTGATGATTTGGACCAAGATAACTCGAAGCATTTCAATAGTTCAAAAGACAAAAATGATAACTTCCAATTGAAGGTTTTACCCAGAGATTTTACTGAGAAAATATGTCGAACTTGTTTTAACGAAATAACTGCTGACGCGCGTATACCACTCAACATGCCAGATGATCCAGGTTATTTGGAAAACCTCATACATTTGTGCCTTCCTAAAGTAGATTTGCTTCTCACTAAAGATCCCATGATTTGTCGTCAGTGCTACAGAAATTTAGAAGAGTTCTACAGCTTCTCAATTAATTGTATGAAAACGGAAGTAGAGTTACAGGCTTATTGCAGTATGAATCAGTCCAATAATCCTATAGATATTTCTGATTTTTTGCGACACGCCATGAAATATGGCTCAGACTTCATTGCTGTTAAAGAAGAAAGTCAAAACTTGATTGCCGATGTTTTACGTGATAATAGTGATAATTTTGACTCAGATTCTAATGATTTCGATGTGAAAACAGAGAACGAATATAATGCAGACATTTCCGTAATTGAATCTAAGAGTAAATATGGACAAGTAAGGTCACGGGGAACAAAAACAAGGAATTTAAGGGGTTCAACGAAAAACAGAAAATTCAGTTCTAAGGATTTATTAGAAACTCAAGTGAAGTGTGAGACCTGTGGACATAAGTTCACAACCAAATGGGCTTTGGACAGACACGTCCCTGTACATAATATTCAAAATTCACATTACTCTTGTGAATTTTGCAACCTTAAGTTCAAATATAAAAATAGTTATGAGAAACATTTAAATGCCCACGTAACTGGGGCTCCAATGTCGAAACCGTTTGCTTGCGAATGTGGAAAGTTTTTCAATAGAAAGTCGAAATTGAAAAAACATCAAGAAATTCATTCCAAGAAGGAGAAGCCTTTCGCATGTACCAGCTGTGGGAAACGATTTCTTGATCAAAAGGTATTTATGTTCGACTAATTAAACTTCTGTTGATATACATAAGTTTAGAATATTTAGACCAACCAATAAATGGATTGTTCTGGATATAATGGTAGTTTTCGATACAGGGGCGCAAAGTGTCGTGGTCGAATAAGGACGGTGTTGGATATCCGAGGCGAAGTCGAGGGTGTCAATCCGTCAAGAGTTCGAAAAACGGATTTTCGTCCTCGTATCGAACAACATTTTTATTTGAATGAAAAACAACACGAATCATAAATTATAATAAATAAGAATAGCAAAAAATAAAAGGCATCAACTTCATAAGTTAAAGCTGATGTCAATGTCATTTTTTAAATTGTCACGTTTTAACGCACATGTGCGTAAAAGTAAAACAAATGAACGGTAAAGAAAAGTGATTCTTTATGATAATCGCTTCTGATCGAAAAATGGCAATTTTCGATTCATTCGAATAAAAGCCTATTAGAAAACTCACGTAGAATTGGATTAGTATTGGCGAAGTATTTTATCAAGAAGTTATTGCCACTATTCAGAAGACGTTTTAAATTAACACTATTTTGTAATTTTTATGTATTAAAATTTTCATATTGTAAAACTAAATACATATGTAGTATGAAGTACCCAAAAACAGTCCAGACAAGAGAACAATATTTTAGAAAAAACAACGTTTCCCCTGTTTTCAGTTACTGGATGGTCATGTGGAACGGGTGCACATCAACGAAAAGGCATTCAGTTGTGAGTTGTGTGGAAACAAGTATACCAACAAACCAGGTCTAGATGTGCACATCAAATCCCATTTTCCTAATGAAAATCCTAGACCAGAACCAGATCTAATGTGTGATATATGTGGGAAACTATTTTATAGAAAATATAGTCTGGAAAAACATCACATGAGCCACACTGGTGATAAACCTCATGAGTGTGATCAGTGTGATATGAAATTTAAAGAAAGGTACGCTTTGAGTAGACTGCGAGCTATGTTAAATAGATAAAGAAATGTATTTTAGATATCAATTGACTATTCACATGCGGAAACACACAGGGGAAAAGCCGTTTAACTGTGAAGTATGCGACTTTAAGTTTTCCTGTAAAAACCGATTAGGTGTTCACATGAGGAAACATACTGGCGTCCGACCATTTCCTTGTCAACTTTGTGATATGGCGTTTACGAGGAATGATCATTTGATGAAACATGTTCGAGCCATTCATACTGGCGAACGGCCTTTTGAATGTGATATTTGTAACAAAACGTTTAATAGAAAAGATTATCTTTTGAAGCATAAAAAAGTGCACAACAAGTCCTCATAGTAAATGGAGATTTTATTAAGTTAAGATTTTGGTTAGTTTGGTTTAGTTCGAACACTTTATTTATTAGGGTTTTACGTACTTCAGTGTAAGTTAACTTTTTGAGGATGGGCGATATGGCATTTTGTGGAAATCTAGTTATTCAACGTAAGAAACACTTATATCATTACTAGAATAGGCGCGATAGTGGGGTGTTTTTCTATGTCTCAATCCCTTGTGGAAAATGAATTAGTGGCATAAATCTAGTTTTCTATTTTATCTCTCACGAAGGAGAAATCGCCGGTCTTATTTCTTTAGAGAGCTAGTAAATGCGCATATAATAAAAATATTGACTGGCTGGTATACATACATTTTTGAATTTTTATATAAATTTTAAATGCTGGTTACATAAAATATAAGCGAAACCTTCATCACTTTTAGTTATCAGCTAAAATGTTGCAGCACAGATGAAAGCGTTTTTTCTCATGGAATATGTATTATTTGATTTTATTTTTGAAGTTTTATGAAAATTTTATATACTGTTTACATAAAATATGAGCGAAAACTTGATAGTGTTTTAGTTATTCGGCTTTAACAATTAAAATTAGCAATTTCATCGTGCTGATAAATCGACAATTTCTCCGATCAAGAGAAACGATTCTTACTAATTAAGTGACTTGCCTGTGCAATAACCCCTCTCAAATCTACTCTAGTAATCTGCGCCACTTCTATGGCTATCGTTTCTTCATAGACGCAAAAATCTATTATATATTGTGCCAGAAAATGAGAACCCAAAACGCGAAAGTGTTGAAAGTCATCAAATTCAATCTAGTCCTTTATTCGGAACAAAGACATTGTTAGATAAATGGTCGTGCTCTTGCTATAGATGATTAACCAAAATTTATTTTTGTTTTTAAAATGAACTGAAAATTATGAGATTTAAAAAAATATTTCAATGAGAATCCGAGCTAATGAAAATTATCTAGAAATGTTGCTTGAGTTCTGTTGTAGGATTGCAAATCTAACACTGACTCTCATCACTTCCGTTCTTATTTATTAGCGTAATACTTTGAATAGTAATTGTTTTATTATCTTTATTATTTGTTATGTATTGTAATAATTTTAAGCATTCTACTGCACACGTTAAATGTTATATATTTAAAGGTTACATGCATATATTTTTTATACTTGTTTCTAAATAAATATTTTAATTTCGAATACTTTTTGAGTATCATTATTATCACAAACGTCATGAAGAAATTGCATCAAAAATGGTAACGCTAGAAATCATAAGTACAATTTTACTTTTTTTATTTATTTATATACCTAAATTCAAAATGTTGCCTTGAACCGAAACCAGGACGAAACAGTTATTTCGATCCGGGTCCTTAATTAAATTAAGTAAATAAATCGAAATATTCTTTCAATTATTAAATACGAGACATTAGTACTTAATGTTAAAAAAAAGATTACTTGTTTCTTCTAAACATAAATGCCGGTTGGTCGTTGCCGATCATCTCTATCCGGTCTTGTTCATTGATCAAAGCTTAGACAAGGAAAGAGAGTATCAAATCTTTTGGCTGTTCATAGTTGCAACTCGAATACATGCTACGGTGCCCTAGACAGGCTGCCGTCAGTGTCATCTATCATCTACAAGTGTTTTGTTTTGAAGTTTCAAATGGAAAACGGAGAATTATTAACGACAAGTTTTTAGAAAAGTGTGTCTAATTTTATTCTGGTTTTCATCTATGATTTTATTCAGTGTCCAGTGAAATAGTAGTTAGTGTGTATCAATTGTGTGTTTTAGATTTCAGCATAATAAGTAATAAGGCTATGGACTTACATGAAACAAATCAATCAAAACGTGTAACGAACTTGAAATTAACCTCAAGGAAAAGTGATTTTCTATGTTCAATAGCCGGTGAATAATGGTTAGCTCCGATAAATACAAAAATGATGAACATTTTGTGGAACTGTTTAAAAAGAAACACAACGAACAGTTCCATGTATTGGTTAGAATGCATTTATCGTTTCTCTTGGATATGACTGCCGAGGAGTAAGTGCTCTATACGTTTTTTAATATTCAAGGCTTATAGAAGGAAAAATAGGTCTAACAGTAAGATAGGCGAAATAGTTATTATACTAATAATATTGGTAATTATTAGACCACGAATGCAAATCATTAGAGTGATAGCAAGTAAGACTAGTGTTTATACAATTATTTATCATACAGAAACAGCAATGTACACATTCATATTTAAAATCATAAACTGTAATTTTAGCAGTATTTAATAGCTGAAATCAGTAAAATCTATTTTTATGTCATGATACTTTCTCCACCACAATTTATTGAGCTATGAGCTGACTTAGTGCTAATTCTGAACACGAGATTTTTTATAGACGTTCAGTTCATAAATTGTTGAAATTCACTATTTTATTAGTTAGGTAAGTATAGCCCGCCGTCGTACGAACTGATAGATCTCCAACCAATAGAAACACTTTCGTATCATCGTACCATCGTATAAACGGATGCATGGAACACGGGCTTTAGTGAATCCTTGTTAGCTTTTTTGCAACAAACTGGTGATATTTATATATTATAACTTATTTTAACTATTTTGCCACTTAATTCACCAAAAATAAATTTATTGTTGCAGAAGTGAATGCTTTTATGAAAAAAGTAAATTGCGGAAATGGAATCTAGTACCTTTTGGCAAAAAGTCCAAACATAAGCATCATGAGGGATCCATTTTATCTAAAGAAGTTCTTGACCAGGTGCATCAATTAATATGTTTTCTCAAGATTGAAAAAAGTATGTAAGACTATCGAAGGTTTTATGTGCGAAATCGTAGTTAATAACACTAATTGTATTGCAGATTTGACTGTAGAAGGTATATTTAGGCGGACTGGTTCACTCGAAAGGCAAAATGAATTAAAAACAAGTCTTTTGCAAGGTATTGCAATAAATTTAGAGGACAGTGTGTTTACGGTCCATGATTGTGCCTCTGTGTTAAAAGGATTTCTGGCTGATTTGCCAGAACCAGTTATAACTGATATTCAATTTCCTTTATACTGTCAAATAGCAGAATCATTTAGGTAAGTTATTACAAAATAAATATTTTATTGCTTAGTTTTCACTTTACCGCAAATCATATCTGGTTTTTTTTTCAGGCTGCACGAACCAAGTCATGAATTGAAAATACTTCAAACTATACAGCTGCTTTTTGTTTTATTGCCTAAAGAAAACAAATGTCTCCTTCAAGACCTCTTCGAGCTGTTGCACCTTGTAACTCTACAAGAAGAATCAAACCGAATGTCATCGGAAAATTTAGCTAAACTTTTTACTCCTCACTTATTGTGTCCGAGAAAATTAGCACCTGAAGTGTTGCTCAGAGATTCACAAATGCTGTTTGGCATCGTGGCATTTATGATTACAAAATTTCCAAAATTATTCAACATTCCATCAAAGCTTTTACTGGATTTTAAAAGTCATTATGAACGGGAAAGCCTGCTTAATGAGTCTGTTAAAGGTAAGATGTCATCACATTTATTAAATTAGAATGTTACGCTTTTTTTCTCAGGTGCTGCACATACAGTGTTTACATTCGTTGATAACGAATTAACTGCCAAAGAAAATGAGGAGAACGTTACTGACTCTGCTCTAGCTCAGTTGTATGCCCACATCCAGGGATTGCCGGACAGTTCCAGAAAGCGAAAACTTGTGAAGCAGTTTAATAAACAAAATGGCCATGTAAAAAGAGATTATTGATCGAGATAAGGATTAGGAACTTACAGTTTTTTTTAGGGCACTCCACTGCAAGTTATCCGAAGTTCGGTACCAAAGAATAAAAGTTTCAGCGATTCCATCAAGAAGCACATGTTTCATAAAAAGCTTTTAAAAAATGCCCGAATAACGGGTTTATCGCAGTTGAAGAACGCCAGTAGTGAGGAATTACTGAATGTGAGTGTAGTATGTGTGCTTATTTTCTATCGCTTCTCATGTTTGCCACTCATTGCCTTAATCTGTGATGTCTGTGCTTATTACGGCTGATCGGCAAGTTATTAACTGTTCTTGTTCATAATTATCAAATGGAGTTAATAATTTGCAAATTAATGAAAACTTGCTTGTAACGTTGCTTTTTCCATGCATGCATCATGCTTCTCTATGTCATTTTAGAGCCCTACCATTCAACACAAAACGCCCACTAGGGCGCGACTTTTTTGTCATAATTTTGACAGTTGTTCAGATGACGAAACTACGCCCAAAAAACTGAAGGGATCGCAGGGAACACCTGTAAAACGCTCTAGAAGTAAAAGTGACTCAGATTTAGGTAGGTTTGGGTTCTTTTACCCAGGGATACCCGCTGCGAATTTCGTTTACCGTAGGGAGTACTAAGTGCCGATACACACGATCGTTTTTTTAACGGTGCGGTGACGCGACGTCAATAAACGCGCGTCCCACAAATACATTAGCGCCCCATACACGAGCGAAATATCTGTCATATCTGATACGTGGCGAGCCAAGTTCGAAAAAATATCGGTGCGTTAATAGCGCCCCATACACGGGCAGATTATCCGTACAGTTCAGATACGTAGAGATTTGATTCGACAGATCCAGATCGGACGAATTAAATCTTTTTCTGTCCACTAATTAACATACCAAGCACGAGTGCCGATTCTTCCAGTGAGATTGGAGGTATCAGATTCGTCCGTTAGTAGAGTGAAATCTTACGTTTCAGACAGACTTGATCTGGCGCGTGGTATTTCAAGTGAACTGAAAGATCTGGTCATGGCAGAGCAGATTAGTTAAACTAAGTGTTTAAAATGCAAGGAACGGATAGCTATTGCTTGTGCTGGCATCATAGTGGTTTTAGAAAATCTACGCAAAAAAAGTGAGAAGAAAGTGGGTAGACTAGAGACTATAGACTGGAAGGGCGTCGGCAGCCATAGGGAAAAATGCGGCAAATAAATAAAAAATCGAATGCACGCTGGGATTTTTTTTATAAACACGTTGTTATTAAAACAATTAAATACATAATTATAGAAAAACAGACAAACGATACAAACCGAACTAATTAAAACCAACGTTAAAAAGGCAAATTGATCTACCACTTTCTTAGTGAAATACTGCAAATTCTGAGAAACAGACATATGTGTTCTGTGTACACTAATCATTAGGTACCTTTTAGTTAAACCCCGGCTGTTCTGGGCAACCTATTTTGTTCGCTCATACAGTTGTTCGTAAAACCTATATTTTTAAATTTGAGCTTATATTATTAATGACTACATCTGATTTACTTTTGCAACTTCATATCTGAAATGTATCGTATTTAGCGTCGCCTTTAACAAAGAACAAACTATTTTTACCACAATTTTTGCAGTTAAGAATTGAAAATGTAAACATCACATAAAACATCACTGCGCTTGAACATATGGCCTAGTCTGTATATATAAGGTCTGATTCTATATACCGTCTGTAACATATCTATAATTCAAATACGATGAATCACTTCATACAGTGGCAATTCATTTTCTTCGGCCCAACGTAGACACAAATTAAATTAATTGACTGCCTATTTACTGAATAGCTTCGTCTTCGTAATCGAAGTGGTGATTTTCTCCTGTGACATGAGGATGAGATAATAGCTAGTGTCACAGGAGAAAATCACTACTTCGATTACGAAGACGAAGCTTGTCAGAAAATACCCAGTAAATAGGCGGTCGATTAATTTAATTTGTGCCTACGGTGGGCCGAAGAAAATGAATTGCCACTGTATGAAGTGATTCTTCGTATTTGAATTATAGATGTTACAGACGGTATATAGAATCAGACCGTATATGTACAGACTAGGCCATATGTTCAAGCGCAATGATGTTTTATGTGATGTTTACATTTTCAATT